TATACCTCAAAAACAGCAAATTCAGCATTCTTTTGAAAGACACATACATGTACAGGCATCTCTTGAAATAAAAGGCCTTGGAAAATATGAAGTAGCCCTAAAGAAATATTTAGCAATTTAATCCACACAATCTTATAAAGAACAGTTTACCAAATACTTCTACAACCATGCATATGATGAAGAAACAATTACATTTTATGCTCTATGGTTAGGGTAAATCAGGAATTGGTTAGGTTTTGGGGGTCTTTTTGCTTTTGGGGTTTTTTTTTGGATAGTTGGCTTAAAGATTCACTCAACTACTGGCCAGTTTTCCTTTATCATAAGTTACAATTTAAAATAATGTTCTCACTGTTGCCAGGAAGGAAAAGAATACAAAATTATCCCAGTCATTTATTTATTATGTTTAAATTTTTTCTCTTTAAAAGCCTTATAAAGCACAAAATAATCATTATCTGCAGATGATATACATAACTACTAAAAAAACCAAAAGAATCCATGGCATAATGTTATTATTATTCATTATAGTAGCAACATTTAATATTTACTATTTGGTCTTCTATAAGTTTTGCATACAGTTATCATTCAGTCCTTAAAACCACCACCCATTAGACATGTACTATTTTTCTTATTTTATAGATGAGAAAACTGAGACATACAGAGACTGAGTAACCTGCCCAAGGACACAGCTAGTAAACCATGTGACTGAGATATAAACTCATAAAATAGAATGTCCAGAGCCCATACTCCCAATCAACAAAAACTAATAAAAAGAGTTTTGTAAGGTAGTTATAAAATAAATATATACACATACAAACTATTTCATATATCAGTAAAAACCAATTAGAAAAATGTAATGAAAACGGCAACCATAAAATCCTACTTCCTAAACGGCATAAAGAACAGAAACAGGAGAGAGACATACTCTTCTGAAAGAAGGTAAACATCAGTATAAATGTGCAACAGTCAAAAACATTTTTGTAAAGGATGTGAAAGACCTTACCTGACTAAGATGTGAAAATTGCCTATAAAGCTACAGCTATTCAACTATGTTGTAGTTCTTCCAAAGAATCAATATGACATACAGAACAAGAGTTAAGAAACAGGCCAAAAAAATCAGACATTAGTATATATATAAGGGAGAATTCAAATTAGCCATAAATGAATGGTCTAACTCAGGGGTGGGCAATTTACTGAATGCAGGCCAAATCCAGCACACTGCTTATATATGTAGGGTGCAAAAATTAAGAATGATTTTTCACATTTTAAATGGTTATATAAGTACCTACATATTATCCTTTATTTAGCCTCTTGGCCCACAAAGTCTAAAATATTTACTATCTGGTTCTTTATGGAAAAGTCTTCTAACCTGTGATCTAAACTATAAAAAAAGTGTTGGGACAACTGGATACCAGATAACCTTATGGGGGTGGGGGGGTGGCACAAGGAGGGTAATCTGGCACCACAAAACTCACACCTTAATCCACAACACACTTCTAATGAATGTAAGTTATATGTGTAGAATTAAGCACAAAAATACTAGAAGAAAGTAGGTGGGGAAAGTCTTCCTAGGTATAATCTCAAAAACTGAAAACATTAAAACCAAAAAACCCACACAAAACTGATTAGTCAAATTCAATAAAAATGATAAATAATTTTATATTAAAAAAAACCTAAAAGCAAAAAACTGAAAAACTATTTATGGCAAGAGGTTATTAACCTTAATATATGGAAAACACGGACAAATAAACAAGACATCAGCTCAATAGAGAAATAGAAAATGGCACAAAAACAGTAATCCACAAAGGAAGAAATAAAAGTGCATATATGCAATGGAATATTACTCAGCCATAAAAAGAAATGAAATTGAGCTATTTGTAATGAGGTGTATGGACCTAGAGGCTGTCATACAGAGTGAAGTAAGTCAGAAAGAGAAAGACAAATACCATATGCTAACACATATATATGGAATTTAAGAAAAAAAAAATGTCATGAAGAACCTAGGGGTAAGACAGGAATAAAGACACAGAACTACTAGAGAATGGACTTGAGGATATGGGGAGGGGGAAGGGTAAACTGTGACAAAGCGAGAGAGTTGCATGGACATATATACACTACCAAACGTAAGGTAGATAGCTAGTGGGAAGCAGCTGCACAGCACAGGGAGATCAGCTCGGTGCTTTGTGACCGCCTGGAGGGGTGGGATAGGGAGGGTGGGACGGAGGGAGATGCAAGAGGGAAGAGATATGGGAACATATGTATATGTATAACTGATTCACTTTGTTATAAAGCAGAAACTAACACACCATTGTAAAGCAATTATACCCCAATAAAGATGTTAAAAAAGAGGGGAAAAACAGATGATAATAATTATACTAATTACTAAGTTGAAATTAAGTATATTAACAATTCTTATAAATATATATGCACACATTATTAGATACATGCAATATATTATATATTGTATTAGCATATATAGTATATAATGGTTTAGGTTACATGTAAAATTGTTCATTAAATGATCCTGAGGTATGTGTTATTTGTTTGCTATTTATAAATAATATAATTGATTCTCACATAAATTAAGGGATTGAATCAAAAAAAAAAAGGCCATCTACACGGAAAAGACACATAGCCGTGTGTGTGTGTGTGTGTGTGTGTGTAAATTAAGCAATGTTTTACTGCACATTAAAACAGTAAGTTTCTTTTGTCTATCTGTAAAAACTTAAAAGCTGGTATTCTCAAGGGCACAGAGAGTGCTGATGAGAGTAAAAATTGGTGCAAACTTTCTAGTGAAAGACATGTCAATATGGCCCAGAGATTTAACTACTAATATATTTTTAAATAAAAATATGTGAAATATAGAATCAAAATTTTAGCCGTAAATTATTCCCGACTAGCATTATTGGTAATTTTTCCCCTCCCCGACCCCACGCATATTTTCTAAAATTTGTGCAATACCCCTTACTATTTTGTAATGAAAAAAGTATCAGCAACACAGAAATTTATAAGTAGCTACTATATTATTATTCCCATTTTCAGATGAAAAAACTGAGGCTTGGAGAAGTTCTTGCTAATAGGCAAAGCCAAGATCCAAACCTATATCTGTCCTGTTTTAATCTCCATGTCTTACTACCTTATTAATTAATTTTAAAAAAAAGTTTTGTGAAGCAAATCGTTCTGTTATTTCTGTGACAATTAATCTGGAATAGTAACCAACATATGTATATGAGTGTATGTAATAATTCTGACTAAAAAATTCTGACATATAATACAGTATTTCTGTTCCCTAGAAGACAGACATCTCTGTCATTCATTCTTTGCACATACTTTTTAAAGAATTTCAGTTTGAAAGCTTTATATCTTCCTGATAAGAATGAATGCTTTTCATCAATAAGTAATATTCCACTACCATTTTTGCATCAATCTTAACTTGCACTGTACAATCACAGTAACACACATGCAGATTAGTTTCTGCAGTGATGCTACCGGAAAGACATCCCAAATTATTAAACTATAACATCAAATCTTAAACTTAGAAATTTATGTAAAAAATAATTCAGTTATAATTTACATCAAATAGCAAATAGCTAGAAAGGCAGTAAGATAACAGAAAATTAATTAGATGACATTATTCTGTCAGCTATTCAACTGCACAAGAAAGCCACCAAACACAAAATTTGACAAGAGTCCTAATAATGCACTTGATAGTTTGTTGCCAAAATGACACAATTTTCAAATAAAAATAAAGGGGAGGGCTTCCCTGGTGGCGCAGTAGTTGGGAGTCTGCCTGGCGATGCAGGGGGCACGGGTTTGTGCCCCGGTCCGGGAGGATGCCGGCGTGCCGCGGAGCGGCTGGGCCCGTGGGCCATGGCCGCTGGGCCTGCGCGTCCGGAGCCTGTGCTCCGCGACGGGCGAGGCCACAGCAGTGAGGGGCCCGCGTACCGGGGGGGGGGGGGGGGGGGGGGGGGGGGGGGGGGGAATAACACCAAAACAGGAAAACAAAACAAAGCAAAACCCCACCAAAATTCTAACTTAAACCTTGAGTAAGCCTATGTGTGAAATTCTAAGACACAGGAAGTAATTTACTAATGATCAACTTTAATGAAAAATGATGGCATTTGTTACAAAACTTAGAATTTTAAAAGTGTTTTAAAACATCAGAAAGAATCTCATTAGATTAATATCTAGAGTAAATTGCTGTATAGACAGGGAAATTAGGAATAGCAAATTTATAAAAGTTTGAAAGAGGAAAAAAAGTTGGGCAGGTACAAAGTACAAGAATACAACTGGTTTGACTACAGTATATAGCGTATAATTTAAAGTAGCTTACCAGAATTTGAAAACAACAATGGAATTTATTTTAAAATATTTTATCTATTTGCTAATTATGACTTGGCTGTGCTCTAAATCCTTTCATTCCAAAAGGGATTACTGAACTACTAACCTTCCAAAGCATTTAACTCATACTTCTATAATATATCATCTTCCATGTTTCTGAATACAGTTCTTCAAAACTTTTCTGTTGTAGCATACCTATAGCTAACAGAGGAGAGATGGTCTGCCTATCTGAGGTCTAGGATTATAACCAGAATATCAGAAAGCAAAGGAAAGGTTTCATTGCAGCCTGACATTATATCTTTAAATCTGTACAAATTAGCTTTCTGCTCTTTATAAAAGTATTGTTTTAATATAAAAACAAGTTATTTCACAAATTAAAAAAACAATCGATGTTCTAGAAGTAATACCTTGTTTACCCCATGTCTTTTGAGTACTTCCTACCACAGTATTACCATATCTCAACTTGAGAATCATACAGTATTTTGTCTCCAATAAGAATTTAAGAAAGCTCATCATCTTTGTATCCCCAGGGCCTAGCACTATGCCTAAAACACAGTCACTCAACCAAAGGTGGTACTCTACAGTCCATATACTGCTTTTCAGGAATCAGAAAGAGACAGACATATACTATTGAGTAAACACAGCTTAACGGGTTAACTTACATCTTTTTCTGACCGATGTGGAAACATAGAAGACTGGCTGTAGTACATGTTTTCGTCATGGTAGTCACTGTCGACCCCCTCTACAAACTTCTTTCTTGAAGCACCAAACATGCTGTTTGTCACCTAAACAAAAATATTACTTTTATCAAGAATAATGTTTCGGAAAATGTCAGGCTTTACCTTACTCCTATGTGGAAAACATAAAATGAAGGGAGCATTGCTAAGATAAAAGAAACAGATCAACTAAGAATTAATGATACAGGTGAGAAAGTCATAACAATGTAGTAGAAAATGTTTACTTTCAGGCCCTGAAATCAAGAGGAGAAACTTAAAGTCTGTCACATGCAACGATTCCAATTATTTTAAAAGAAAAAATATTACTTATTCTTGAAAATTGGCAACCCAATATAATTTTCCCATACAAAGATTTTTTAAAAATTAAGTTTGGGTTTAAATTATTCAGAATTTTCACATGCATCTTCAACATTAGTGTCTTTGTCATTGTTATACCTACTTTTTAAATTATGTTTTCCAGAGCATATCATCTTCACTTACAATCTAAGTTTACTGAGATATAGCACTTTTTGAGTCCATGTATAATGGCACACTGGAAATCTTATCTCAAGCCACAAGCTCTCACTCATGTAATAGTAGGATAATTTTTTCACTCATCATCCTGGTATAAATTTATGATCTCTACTACATAACCTGCTTACTCTTTTGCTTTTTAAGTCTTTACCATATCCAACACTAGTAATTTTGAGCCCTCATCAAGATAATTACTAAATCTGTGCTAATTTTTATTTTATTTTATTTTTTTCCATAAGGTGACCTGTATAAAGCTTCCAAAACTATCAACTGACAGGTTATTTAATTAAGGTCAATGTGTCTTATCCCTAATAGTACTCTGTAGTTCAAAGTAAACTGAAATGTCATGATAGCCTTGTAAAGACTAGAATACACAGTGACTATATTTTTTCACAAAAAAATGGGGAAAAACTCATCAAATTTGACATCTGTCTGGTACACTCATTATGAATAAGGGTATTTTCTTCCACTGTAAGAAAAAAGGAACTTTCTTTTACTTCTCATTTCAAAATGAAACACTGTAGTTACTGCTGTTAATCAGTAGACATGGTGAATTGGTATACTGCAGATTTTAAGGCTAAATTTGATGTGCAAGTTTGTTGAAAACACCCATGTTACTTAATAATTGCTTTATATTTTAAGTTCCTTGTTAAATCTGTAAGAAACTCAAATATTTAAGTATTCTTCCTGTTGAAGTCTGAGAAAAAGCTATTCAGTTAAATATGAATACCAGTCTGAAGACAACTTAACCACTGCTTTGCTGTATGTTTTTAGGCTATATATCTCTTTAGGTGTGAAATACAGAAAGATATTTTCAAGGATCTATTAATTTGTTAGAACATACTTTATCTTCTTTGGGCAGTGGACTCCCTGGTGAATCTCAGGCAAGGGCTTCTATAACTCTGAATGTAATTTTAGGGACTAGGTAGGATCCCTCATGCCTAGCCTCTAACCCCCCCTAAGTAGTCCCTAATAGGAAAGAGGTTTTTTAGTGAGTTTTATTTCAGAAAAGTAACAGTGGAAAAAAGCACTTTAGAGTCTGCAAATTAAGACTCTTTACACATGAGATTTTAAAGGTTTGTTTTGTAAAAGTTAAGGATACATTTAATTCTCTTTAAAGGACAATTACTACTGAGCTCTAATTCTAAAAAAGGATAAACACAGGAAAATGGCATGAAACTTGCAGAATTCACTAAAATTTCAGGAGCGTACCAAGATATCTCTCATCAAATTTTACGTACATAAGTTAAGTCAAATGGATGCAAAGTGAACTCTTAACAATTGTGATGTAACATTCATCATCAAAACCAATTACAGACTCTTAGAATCCTAAAATTGAAATTAATTGTACTGAATAAAAAAACTTCATTCTAATATTGTGCAAAGAGGTTTTACTGTTTTGAAAGCAAAACTAAACACGTGAAATGCCTCAGACAGAGGAAAACAGAAATGTTCTCTTTCATCAATACCAAATTTTCCCAGACTCACTGTGTGTGTGCCAGAGGGAGGGAGAGAAAACACAAACATGTAGAATTTCATTTTTGTTTTGTGTGCTTCGACACAAATTACACAACACTGAAAATACTAATTATTTTTACATGACTTCAGGAAAAAAAAAAAAAAAAAAAAAAAAAAGAGGTAAGAGTGTAATACTCTGCCTTCAAATGCAAGCCCCAGTCCAAGGGATGGGTACTGGTATGAAACAAAGAATTCTCTGATCCATGGCAAAATCAGAAAGAAAAAGGAGGACAACATAGTAAGTTTTACAAAAAAGCTAATTTTGGGCTTCTCTGGTGGCGCAGTGGTTAAGAATCCACCTGCCAATGCAGGGGACACGGGTTTGAGCCCTGGTCCAGGAAGATCCCACATGCCGTGGAGCAACTAAACCCTGTGCCACAACTACTGAGACTGCGTTCTAGAGCCCGCGAGCCACAACTACTGAGCCCACATGCCTACAGCCCGTGCGCCTAGAGCCCATGCTCTGCAACAAGAGAAGCCACTGCAATGAGAAGCCCACACACCACAAGGAAGAGTAGCCCCCGCTCGCCGCAGCTAGAGAAAGCCAGCGCACAGCAACAAAGACCCAACTCAGTCAAAAAAAAAAAAGATAGTTTTATTTAATTTTAAAGGGTGTGTCCTGTATTCCATATAGAATGATGGAATGGAGTAGAAAAGTATTTTAGACTAGCCAGGAAGGGTGAAACTAGGAAAGTAACAATGAAGCAGAGAAGTAAAGGAACTAACTAGCTAAAGACAGGAAGAGCAGTCAGTGCAAAAGTGAACAAGGTCCTCAGTGGTGCGGCTCAAACAGAATGAATTCAGTGGAAGATGGTAGGAACTGAAGTCAGAGATACTAGTGTGAGCAGATCATGTGTCTTGCAGGCCTGGGGAACTCTGGATTTTATTCTATGTGAAATGAGAAGTCAAGAGAGGATTTGGGGGAATTCCCTGGTGGTCCAGTGGTTAGGACTCGGTGCTTTCACTGCCATGGGCCCAGGTTCAACACCTGGTCGGGGAACTAAGATCCCACAAGCTGCACGATGCAGTCAAAAAAAAAAAAAAAAAAAAAAAAAAAAGAGAGAGAGAGAGAGAGGATCTGTGGGCAGTTTAAGTGACATAATTTGGCATATTTTATTTATGTATATATTTAATATGAGTGTAGCTACTCTGTAAGGAATGGACAAAAGAGGGGACAAGAGTGGAAGCAGGGAAACAGGTTGGTGAGAGAAGATGGTGGCTCAGACTACAGTGGTAGTGGTAGGGGATATGTCAACACTGTACTGAAATATATTAAAATTACTGGTTATATCACATATATTAAAGTCAATTTGATATACAGAAATTTAAAATACTAATTTAAAAACAAAATCATACTTCATTCTACATTACATATAAAATTTGTTCAGATATTTGGTATATACAATTTGTCAGCTTTCTTCAAGCAAACATATAAAGGGCTTACATCAATTCTGTTAACTGACCACCTTCTCTCTCAACTCTCGTATCACATGTTTTAACAAAGGAGAAGTAAAAACTGAGATTTCATCAAGAAAAATACATGAAATATGTTGTACCAAAAGCAATGTTTCTTAAGTCTTTTTTGAATACAGATCTAAAACATGTAACTAAGACATTTTACATTTGCTTTGATTCCATAAGAACTAATCAGGATACACACACACACACACGTTAGCTTACACTAATTCTTTCTATTAGCCTGACAACCCCCCCCCCGCCCCCCAAAAAAGAGTTGGCCTCAAAATGTAGTAGAGAGGAATTAAACTGACAAGCAGAATGGAAGCACTAAGTTGGCTGGCTGTTCCCAGTAAACACCTTCATTACTTAATTAGGACTAGCTATGAGTTCCTAAGGTCTAACATTCTTAATATATAAATATAATATTTCAAAGCCAAATGCAGTAACTCAGAATACTCACAGAGAATTCATAAAACCTCAAACTTGAGATAATCTTAACCAACAACTTCAAAGATGGGTAAAGTGGTCCCTGATCCAGGTGGGATGAACGGTAATTACAAAAGGGAAAGAATAAGAGGCAAGGCCTGGAGCTTTTTAAATGGTCACAGAAACAAAGTAGGACACTTTACAAGTGAAACTTCAAAAATAAATTTAGATAGATAAATAAGTATATAGATAGGTAGACAGATAGGAAAGGGTGAAAAATAGATCATATCCAAGGCAGGATGGGCGGTATATAATCTTGCACAATTTTCCTTCAGCAAGACCTCTGGAGAGGAACTTACTCTAAAATCATTTATTGTCTATCATGCTGGCATGCTGGCCCAGGCACGGAATCCTATTCCCAGGGAACAGAAACACATCCCATGGCAGAGTGTCCTTTTCCTGATAGCAAACAAATATAGTTTGATTTTGAAATCTATCTCCAGTCTTAAAGTTCCAGCAGCATATTTTAAAGTGCTGCTAGACATTTCTGTATGAGAAGTGCATTTTAATAAACGAAATCAGTAATATTTAAAACTGACTTTCCGAGTTACTTTCTCCTGTTCTGTTCTGCATTATCATCACATTCTAACCTTTCTTCACAGTGGCTTTCACATTTGTTTTTTGCCATTCTACCTATCACCTTCTTAGTTTAAGCTATGGACTAGATTTTTTTTAGCCCTTTGACTGATCTCCCTTCACTTTTCAGTGAACATGCTGAGGGTTTCCTATATGAATTATGCCAAAAATTGTGCTAATGAACACAAAAGCTGAGTAACAGCCCCAAGTCTTGAACAAGCTCACAGCCTAGTTAGGAGAAACACCTGTAAATAAACAATTACAGTATGAAAATCTGTACAGGTGTTTTGGGAACACAAATAAGGGAATATCTAACTCTATCTGAGGGAAACAACTGAAAGGTCTTATAAAGTAATATTTGAACAAATATTTAAATTTGTTAAAAAATTTTTTATTTAAAAAAAAGGAGAAGAGTGTAGGGTGGGAGATGAAGCAAACTTTGGCATAGGAAACAGCAGGCATAAGTTCTCGGAAGTGAGAGAAAGCCCAGAAACACA